TGTGGTTCATGAGTTAATGCAACAGTTAACCTGAATCTCCTCTTTCCATTGAAGCATGTTAACGCCTATAAACATGGACACTTGAACAATCAATTTCATGTTTCAGAAGATAAACTTTTCTCACAAAAAAAGATTCCGTGAATAAGAGGCAGGCAGGAAATGAAAATGAAAATAAAGAACATATAAATAAGACGATCAGGCATTTTGGATGTGCATACCTTCGACGTTCTGTTTGAGTTATTTTGTGGATGGCTTGAATTAGGAATTATGCATACTATGCCTCCCATAAGCCTAGTTAGCCACAACCCATGCATACACTCCCTCAAAAGACCCTATGACAGCAATATTTGCAGATAACTGAGTTTCTTAAGTTCAATCATATAGTTAAATACACATATACCTTCATCATATCTTCTTATATTTTGAACTAACTAAAAAGAAGCCCGCAAATACTTGTTAAAACGATAGAATAGCAGTTACAAAAGAAAAAATCTTTTAAAAAAATATCAAGTAAAAAAATGAAAACAACTAAAGATATAATAACAGGTGGTCCAACCTGAGATGTAGCTGTCGAAAGTCAGCCAGCAAAAGCTTCTAAGGCTGGAGGGTGTGGTGCCACCGAAACCGCACTCCCTCCCCCGCCACATAAGCGCCATGTCATTTTTTACCACTCAAGTGTGGTTTCTTGCCACACCAAGGGAGTGGTGCCACACATTCTTTTTTTTTTTTGTTTTGTGTTTTTTTTAACTATTTTAATTTAATAAAACTTCTTTTTTTTAACTATTTTAATTTAATAAAACTTCTATTTTAATAAAAAAACATAATTTTTCATTACTTGAAAATTAAAAAAAAAACATTACATTGCATTACCAAAAAAAATAAAAATAAAAAACACGAAAACCACACACATGACATTTAAATAATCCTAGAAACTTAAAAAACACAAATAAAAATAACTAAAGCAAACTACATAAAGTCGTTTTCCGAGAACTCGTCTTCGGGGTCATCCGGTGGATCCAAATTAAGGTTAATGTTTTGAACCCCGTAAATGTGTTCCACCAAGTCATTGCGAAGATTGTGAAATGTTTCAGTGCAATGTATCTCTGCTCTCCTGTTTATATACTCTTCGCCACCAATTTCTATTGGTTGTGTCTCTGGTATGGTTTCTTCCTCGTCAAACGCACATATCGCTCTTCCTTCGTCTTCAATAATCATGTTATGCAATATAAGACATGTATACATGATTTCTTGAAGTTTTTCCTCGCCTAAATAAGCTGCTGGTTTTTTCAATATGAACCACCGTTTCTTCAGAGCTCCAAAAGCACGCTCAACATCCTTCCTAGCTCTTTCTTGAGCTCTCTTGAATTTCTTTCGTCTAGAACCATGTGGAGCTGTAAACGATTTAACAAACACAGCATACTCAGGATAGATTCCATCGACCAGATAATAATCATACTTATATGGCGTTCCACGCACTTAAAAAGAAGAATATGGTGCGGATCCATCGTATATGTTGTTAAATATTGGTGAACGATTAAGAACGTTGATGTCGTTAATCGAACCAGGAGAACCAAAAAAAGCATGCCAAATCCACATATCTTGTGATGCAACTGCTTCAAGTATGACCGTTGGGTGACCATGATCACCTCGGGTAAATTTCCCATGATATGCTGTAGGGCAATTTTCCCATGCCCAATGGAGACAATCTAAGCTTCCTAGCATTCCAGGAAACCCATGCACACTAGCATGATGAGCTTGCAATTGCAGGATGTCATTACGTGTAGGCTTACGTAAATATTTTGGACCATAAAACTGAATCACAGTTTTGCAGAAAAAATGAAGACTGTCTCGTGCTATCCTAGCAGACATCCTAAAACTTTCGTCTAACGCATCAGGCGGAATGTCATATGCTAACTAACGAAGTGCAGCCGTGCATTTTTGTAAGGGAGTGAAACCGGGTGTACCTCTAACATCGTAGCGTTGTTGGAAAAAACTGCACTCCCTCGTTACATCTTCAACTATACGTTCGAATAAACCTTTGAGCATTCTGAAGCGCCTACGAAAATAATACCCTTGATAAGTGGCATTCTCTGCAAAATAGTCTTGCACCAAACGTTGGTTGGCTTCTTCACGATTTCTGCAAATATATCTTCGTGTTCCCCGTTGAGAACTTGCAGCTGCGTTGTTACATACAACGTTGTATGTTTGTTCCGCCATTTGAACACACGCAATAACGGTATCAAAAATAGTTTGAAATTCTTCAGAAGATGAAGAATATGACATTTTTGAGAGAGTGTTGATTTTTTTTAAAAAGTTTTTTGAGAGAGACAAGAGATTGTGTTGTGAAAAAAAATGATGTTAGATATGTATATATAAGAAAGCAAAAAAAAAAAAAAAAAATTATTAAATACCCAACAACCGGCGATCCTCCCTTTTTCCCCTCAACCAATCAGAAAGCACGGCACTTAAGGACCGCAGTGCGGCCAAGACCGCACCAGACCGCGGTCTAGGGGCGGTGTTCTTGGTCTACGTGGCACAAAGTGCGGTCTGGGACCGCACCCACACCCTTCGGCCTAATATGTCCGAATTTATTGGTCTGCCCGATCCATTGAAGAAAAACATGGCATTCCAAATGGCTTTACTAAAACATATAAGAGCAATGTACAAAGCAACGCTTTCATCATTTCAAATAAGAGATACTGCGAGTGCATAACAAAGATGATGAACTAAGAAGGCTAAGGAAATGGCAGTTGAGCAAAGTGCTAATATCAGAAGTATTTTTCTCTGAAGAATTTCATCGAGCACCTTATGTGCACAACTCATTCCTCCCCCTTTTTGATGGAGGTGACATGTGGAGAAGCAGGGTAACGATCAGAACCCAATTGAATTCGTCAGCGCCACCTGCAGAAGCAGGCGGAAGCAGTCGGGATCGTGGATCCTATTCTTCCTACCGATGGATAGGAATGCCATTTCTGCCATTCTTTACCCTGAATTTCACCTTTTTCTGCAAACAAAGAATTCAATAGTCATAAAACTGAAATATGTAGACGAAATTAAACACAAATAAAACATATAAATCAGAACCGATGATAGGCGGAGAAACTCATTTGTGTCGGTGGTCTTTACGTCTCCGGCGAAGAGTAAATAGAAGAGTTTACGTGTTTTTTTGTTTACCTATCATCTTCACTGGCACCCAATACCACCCCTAGCCCTCGATATCAACTACCGGTCACCACCTCCACAAATCTTCAATATTCAGCCCTGTTCACGCACACAAAGGCCAATAAACCCCACCACCATAGTTCGATACCCTCAAAGTAGAAGAAAACATTACCTTCAAGTCGTTCTGAATCAGCCACGAAGAAGGAACATCTGCAAAGGAAATAAAAAAAACAGAGGTGAAAAGTGACGGTGGTGCTCAATCGGAGGAGAGATTAACAAAATTTGGGGAAGTTGTACTGGAAGTCTTAAACCCAGACAAACAATAGCCGTCGTCGATTCGAATCTGGAGCAACCGTACTAAATAACATGAAGAAATGGAGACGACGTCTTTAGGAGGTTGTAGCCATGTCGTGGCAGCGAGCAGTGGCAGTGAGCATAAATGGTCCTGGTGCCCGATCGCAGGAGGTATTTTAGCGGAGGAATGAAGAAAGAGAAGAGAAAGATGGAGACGGACCGGATGGCTTGAGAGGTGGTCGACACAAAATAGATATTTGATCGGAAAGAACAGTGGAATGGGAAGATAGAATAGAAAGGGCATCTGATCGGAGAGGCTTTGGAAAATTCCAGAAAGTGGCTAAGATAAACATCAATATTTCCAACGATGATGAACGACACGTGTCCGAAAGAGTGTACATAATGACATAAAATGCCCTCTATAGAAAACAATCGAAAACTGCAACGAAATCCATAAATAGGGGACCATTTGTGCCAACCCCTTAGGACATTTACTGTTCCTAAGGGTACACAAATTTAATATATATATATATATATATATATATATATATATATATAATAATAATTATAATCACACGATAATAAATAGTAAATAAAAAAATTTATTAACATTTGTCCACTTTTATCAGCTTATTTGTAAGTAGTTGTAACTTTTTAATTGGAAAGGTTATAAAAAATACAAACAAAAGAACTATTAAATGAATTAGAATCTGTAAAAAGTTTTCATTTTTATTTTTATATAAACATTTAAATCCTTCCATTCAAAAATTTACATCATATTATTTGACATATTAAATTATTTTAATCATATGTAAAATATAAATTGATTTTTTTGTATAATATAAAATCAATAACTTGATAAAGATAGATAACATATTAATTATTTATAAATAAAATTAGAACTTAAAGGAAACAAATATTTGCAATCAACCCTACCTAAGGTTGTAAACGAACCAAACGAACACGAACAAGGTCTGGTTCATGTTCGTTCGTTTAAGTTAGCCGAACAACAAACGAACACGAACGGATAAACGAACGAGATTTTCTTGTTCATGTTCGTTCGTTTATCAAATTACATTGTTCATGTTCGCTCGTTTATGTTCGTGAACATGCTAAACGAACATAAACGAACAAAGATAAAAAAAACACAATTGAACATATATGAACATAAACGAACATATAATATAGCAATATAATAAAAAAAATTAAATATAAATGAATATAAATAAACTTAAATGAACGAACGTAAACGAACATCATAAACGAACATAAATGAACGAACGAGACTATTGTTCATGTTCGTTCATTTAACTTAACGAACGATAATTTTTGTTCATGTTCGTTCATTTATTAAATAAACGAACATAAACGAACTTCCCGCCGAATAGTTCACGAACGGTTCGCCGAACGTTCAGATCGTTTACAGCCCTATACCCGATCATATCTGAATAGCAACAAAATTTGACTCAATTTTACATACATAATGCCAAAAAAAAAATATTTTTTTATTAAAATTAGAATTCTATTTGGCACACGAATTTCATTCACAACGAAGGAGAAGTACAAGGCGTTAACGGAGAAGAAGAAGCTCCATTGTTACTGTTCGTATCACTACCAGAAGTCCCCAGCGACCGAACATCTTTCAGATACACAGAAACCGCCTCCGCCGGCAGCCTCTTCATAGGCGTTAACGGCGGTGTAACCACCACCTTCGAAGATATTTCTTCTCTCTCATCATCGCCGGAGGACTCTTCCGTTCCCAACCGAGAAGGCGACGAGTCCGGCGTCTCAAAGGGAGTATCATCATCTTCCATCGTTTTCCCCCTTCTACTTTCACCATCAAAAACCGGATTAGAAATGTAAATCAATGGAGACCCATTTCGGATTTCCATCTTATCTTGGCGTTGGGCTCCGCCGGAATCTTGATTTTCCGGTGAGTTGGTCTGAGTGGGTTGCTTTTCTATGTCGTAGCTGGCATCCGCAGGGTAAAGGAAGCCATCAAGGGTTGAATGAGAAAGAGAATGAGAATGAGCATGAGAATGTATAGATGGGTTGCCACCGGTGGTGGTGGCATTGGGAGTTGTAAATTGACGGCGGCGGTTGCGGCGGCGTTGGAGGAAAGTCGAACAATAGAGCTCAGCTAAGAGAAGCAAAATCAAGCCCAAAACCATCGCGAGACTGACCACTAGAACCAGAGTTAACAAGATTATGAGATTTGAAGTACCCTTCATCTCTCTCTTACTGAGTGACTGTGATTTGAAGTTTGAAGTGAAAGAAATGAAGAATGTGATACTTCTGCAATTATACAAATAAATGGCAATTATACAATTCTTTTGGCGGGAAAAAGGGGGCCATTTTGACTGGCTAAACAGTGGGTGGGAGGCATTCCAAAGAGTTGTCAACATTTGTTCTAAAACGGGTATTAATTTATTGAGGTTTGTTACATAAAAAGAAATGTTTGTAAGCCATAAGATATTTTGGTGTTTAATGGATAACCAAATTATTTGACGATTTATATGGACTTGTGGATTTTAACTAGATTAAAGATGTTGTGTAAATGAATTTATCGGGGGATTTTTTAACATTTGCCCTAAGGGCATATATAAAAAATATTAATTATAACAAATATTACCATAATTAAACATAAGGTATTATCTATAAGATAGTTTCCTTGTAAAATTAACTCTTTTATTCTATAAAACTACAAGAGTACGAGCGTTTTTGGTAAAACTAGCTTGGAGCTGGAAACTGTAGTTTTTTGTTTGTTATATTAGTGAAATAGTTAAAAGTTTTTTGAAATGTGTAAAATTATATAAAATGACAATTATATAAAAAGATAAATATATAAATATATTTTTAAGACAATTATGGAAGTTGATTTTAAAAACGCAATATTTATTTCTTAAACGCTACATCAAGTAGATTTTATTTAAACTAAAAACTAAAAGTTTGTACTGTAAAACGAAATTTTTTGTTTAAATCGACTGTTTTGTTTAAATCAATTATAACATTTTATTTTTAAGATAAGATCAAAATATTATGTTATTTGTGTCCACTAAAATTATTATGTTTTCTGATTCTCATTAACTTAATGTTTCGCATCCTGATAAGGCAAAAATAAATAAAAAACAAAACACTTGCATAGCTTACGTGGTATTAAAATAAGTACATGTAAACATTTATTTAAATTGTAGAGCTTATATGGAACAATAATTACACTTTCTGGATATTCATGGTATTCAGCAATTATAGTTTTTTGTAAACAGCCAATGTCATTTAATCATTTTGGTTCCACATAGGCTACACAACCGGTTTTTCTTGCATTATACGACTGTGAATCATTAAAGTATTTAAAATCTGAAAATATAATGGTTTTAATGGACATAAAAATAATATAAAATATTTTTTTTAAGCAATCAATGGAGATTTGGAGGATAATATAATGGGTTTTTCTAAGCCTTTTCTTAGTATTTTTGTATAACTTTTAACAATAATGACCTGATCATTATAGAAAAACCAACTAAAAATCTAAAAGTAAAAAATCAACTAATAGAAAATATAGTAAGAATAACGTCCAATGTCATGTGTTAGATATGCAGGCATTAATTTGTTAAAAATAATGCCACCCAATCAAAATGTTGACATGTCAACAAATGCTAACTGGCTGTATGCCACGTCACTCATAGCTGCAAGTGTAATGAAATGAGAGTAGGATGAATTAAAAATCAAAGTACACGTCGCTATAACAATTCCTAAATAAGTTGCTATTTCAATGTGTGAGTAACTAGTGTTCATTATTTCCCTACAACAATAGCTTAGCATTTGATGTGCGAAATTAATAAAAAGTAATCCATAGTTTTCAAATGCTAAAATTACTGGTTGTAATTTGTAGCTTACCCCAATCTTATGAGCTTTGAGTCGTGTTGAGTGAGCCATGCAGAGGATATGGTTTATCACTCATACCGGTGTTCAATATTTTAGTTCAACCATACGAATAATCAAGTGTTATAAAAAACAAAACACTTTGTTTTCAACCTAGCAGTTGATGTGCAAAATAAACACCCGGAGAGTTCAATAACCCAGAGTTCTAAAAAGCGCGTGTAAATAACATGACAAATCTATAAACCTAGCTAAGGTGTCAAAAAGTGTATTCTCTACCATAAACATCTCAGGAAATTAACAATAAAATTAAAGAAGATATTGTTGTCATCAAGGAATCGACCATGATGAACAAACCGCCCAAGAATGGTGTTTTGAGGAAGAATACCGCTGCGGTAAAGGATGGTTGTGACTGATGCCGCCGGTTCTTCCACCATCATCACCACCAGCCTCACTAGCGATTGCACCACCAAAGCAGTTATCGACTGGCCACCACAAGATATCTAACAAATTATTCAAGAATCAGAACCATTATATGATTTAATTGACAAACAAAATTGCAAATCATATTAAGCTTACCATGTTCAATGATGGAGAAAAAAATAAGATTGAAGTTTGTTTCTTCTTGTTTACTCTATTTTTATGTCGTGGTTTTAGAGGAGGGAAGTTTAGTGGAGTAGTTGAGTTTGTAAATAAATATATACCACCAGAACTTCAAAGTTCAAACCAAAGAGTACTATTCATGGGTCAATAAGGAAATATTGATGTCATGTATGTAAATGATACATGTTGACACATTAAACTTTAGGAGTGCACAAGACTAAACTAGGAAAAATATTATATTAGCCCAACAAACTAGTTACCTTTGTTTTAAAATGTCTTTTTTTTTTTTTTTTTTTTTTTTTTTTTTTTTTTTTTGCTTTGTAGGGTCATGAACTTTGTTTTAACATGTTGTTTTCAACCCTTAACCCATTATAGCAGGTTGTAATGTCACCTAAGAACATACTTAATACACTTGGATCCTACATGTAAAACTAGTCCATATGAAATTTCCCAAAAAAAAGTCAAACCACTAACTTTTTTTTTAGAAAGAGAAGATGAAATTTAAAAAAATGTATCCGATTAATTAATTGTGTCTTGAAAAAATTAACAGAAATTTTCATGGATTTTCAGCCGGAATTGAATCTAGGCTCTAAGCGGTAGTCAAGTCGCCAACAAATCGGCGCATGCTGTTGACTCTAATGATAGAGCCGAGTCAAATCACTAACTTTCTTTACATACAAGTCAAAAATTAACACCAAAATGTTGATCAGGCATTTCCATCATCTCCTCGACACCATCGATGTCTACATCAAAACCTTCATCCATTATTAGATTCCATATATTTGTGAAACATCCCAAAAATACAGTCCAAAAATTTCGTTTTAATTTATAGATAAAATCATAGTAATCCAAATCATCTCATAAAAACATAAGTGATAATATCTCAAAACACCATATCAAAACATTGTATCAAAATCACATGTCCAAATATCAGAGTAAATCATCCCATGCTAAATGTTGTGGTGTGTGCGATGCACTCATCCCGAGCTCTTCCCCTTAATAGCGGAAGTACCTGAAACCAAAACTAAAAATTGTAAGCATGAAGCTTAGTGAGTCTCCCCACACTACCACATACCATACGTACATAATCACATAATAACATACATTGGGCCTTGCCCGCTACATCGAGCCCCGCCCGGCATCAGACGAATCCGGCATCAAGCCCCGCCCGACATCGGACCGAAGTCTGGTATACATATAAACATATCAACAAAGCATATAACATAAACATATAAACATTCATCGGGCTTGACCCGACATCGGATCGAAATCTGGTAACATAACATAACATATAAGCTAAACATTCCTCGGGCTTGCCCCGGCATCGGACTGAAGCCCGGTACATATAAACAAGTACATGCAAGAATCACGAAGACATCAAGCATACAAACATTCATCAGGATTGCCCCGGCATCAGACCGAAGTCCGGAAACATATAACCTACATCGGGCTAACCCCGGCACCAGACCTAAGCCCGGAACATACTAGCATACATATACGATCCGACATTGGTGCCTTCGACCCGTTCATACAGGAGGAAACTCACCTCAAATGTCGAGTGAAGTAGCTGAACGTCTCTATTCCTGCAACCGGATCTACTCACGCCCTATACAAAACAACCCCTTAGATACCATTCCTTGCATCAAGACCCCTTCACGGGTCAACCTTGGTCAAAGCCCAAGTCAAAGTCAAAGTTAACGTTCAGTCAAAGTCAAAGTCAACAATACGATTTGACTCAACTCGTCGAGTCATCCTCCTGACTCGCCGAGTTCCCTTGCTACTCGTAGTCGTGATAAAACGAGTCAACTCGTCGAGTCCCTTCACAGACTCGTCGAGTTCTACCTTGTACAGAATCGGGACAAATCGACACAACTCATCGAGTCCCTACACAGACTCGTCGAGTTCTACCTTTTATAGAATCGGGTAAAGTTTCCAACTTTACCCGTTAATACCTTTACTTAATGGGTTTATCTCAAACCTTAACTCTTTAGGACCTAGATCTTGGTCCACAAGCCATCCATACTCCAAACTAAAGCATACAAATAGAGATCTAGACCATAATCACTACATAAACACGTAAAGCTTCCACCTTTTCACTCCATGCATGGCATTTTGGAGCGTAAAAGGCCAAAATGACATCCTATGGCTTGCATGGGGCTTCAATGGCCATAAAGTTTGCACCTTTACGCCATGAAAGCCCTCCTTGATTCCAAATCTGAAGGTATACTCACTTTGGACGTCCATATCCCAAAGATCAAGCTTCTTAGACCAAAAACCCAATAAAATGGTAATAAGGAGATCTAAGAAGCTACTAAGCAAGTTTGAGACTTGATTACCAGAAAATGATGAGAATGAAATGAAGTCTTTGGATCTACTAGCTTCTCATTGAATCCCCAAGCTTCTCTTTCCTTCACAAGCTTCAAAACACACCAAGTTTCACTCAAAAATGGCTCACAAGCTCAAAAATGCATTAGGGTTTCTGAATCTAGGGTTTGGGACTTGGAGGCTGGAAATGAGGCCAGCAAGTGGGGATTAGGTTGCTTAAATAGGGTGTAAAACCCCGAAATTAGGTTTTCATTCTGGAAGCCCTACTCCTCGAGTTGAGGCTCTCAACTCGACGAGTAGGTTACTTAAAATCATGCGTCTCTTCTGATTTCTACTCGACGAGTTTGGGGCTCCCAACTCGTCGAGTTGCTCTACAAAAATGAATAAATTATAATTAAATGCGTACCAGGAACCAGTCGTTACTATTTGAAGCTTCAACTAAATTATTATTGACGTCACAAAGCCCACGATGACGATGAGTAGGGGCAAAGATGAAAGCATAGACGACGATGAATAGGAACAAACGAGTAAAACCCATAAATCAAATGTTTGAAACTCAACAATCACCTAAGGTTGTTTGAAACCCAAAAATCATAGCAAAAATCAAATGTTTGAAACCCAAAAATCGCCTAAGGCTGTTTGATCCTTATTTTGTAGAAAACTGAAGGTTTGTGGTGCAAACCCAGAACATGCAACAATGGTTTTTGGAAAAAAAAAACCTAGATCTAAAACGTTGGTGTGCTAGAAAATTAAAGGTTACATTCCTCTTCCTCTTCTTATCGATTTCCACCTCACCATTATTACTCTCTACTTTTTGGCCCCAATTTACACCTCCCAATTCCCCTGATTTGAGCGAGCTCTATCATAACCAACAAAATTCTCTTTTGACACAGAAAAAAGTAAGTATCCTTAGGAGTTAGTACAATATAGTGTGCACTGCATACCAGAACTCCTATAGACATTAATACATGAAAAGGAATAGCTTTCATCGTATTCATCATCAACAACTCATTTGAAGCAAGAAGGCATGAAGAACAAAATGGGTATAGATGCAAAAATTGAAACAAATTCATAAGTTATCTCTTCTGTAACAGTTTTAGGGACCAAAGAGATTGTCATAAAACTATATCCTCAGATGATGATATGCGTAAGAGGAAGGAGATTGGCGATGTGGGTTTGCAAACATAAACTAGCAAAATTCATTAATTTTGAAGTGTGATTAAGTACGTGTATAACAATAAAGTTGTGATAAAATGATACATCGTTGTAGCCGGAGCGTGTTTCGGGTCGAAAACGATCTCTAAATCGTTGGGTCTCAAATACCATATTTTCCTTCTGTCACCATCTAAATCATTCTTTGTAACAAAATCCCGAAGTAAATCGAACCCAGAAAAACGATTAGAAACAAGATGAAGAACAATAAATAGATGATATTATCCATTCGTTTTTCAACCCTATTTCTTTTGGAATGTGTGTATGTAGAGTTTTGAATCACTTTCGTATCATGACCAGTGAAGATGATGACGCCATAGATGTAATATGTGTTTCAAGCATACGTCACCACATTTTACCCGGTTACCCGGTAGCAAGTTAAATATGGACCTTTTAAAATGGTAAACTCGAACTTTATTCCCTTAATGTGAAAAAAAATTGAGTTACCTTTTAAAACAAACATGAAAAGTTCGTTGGGTTAAAATGACATTCTCCCACTAAACTAATAACAACATTTTCAAATATTCTAATTATAAACAAATTAACTTATAAGCTACTTTATTAATAAATTTTTTTGGTTTTACCAAATGCTAAATTACAATAAACTAACTTATTTTTACTTAAACACATACATAAATGACTAAATTGAAATTACAAATGAAAGATTGATTTGATTCTTTAATATCAACAACTTTCAGATTTGTCCATGTACTTCCATCTAATTGCATCTCTGACCTTGTAGTTTGAGCAACTCAAGCCTTGTGCTGCTTCATATGGTAACGGTGAAGAAAGACATGAGGCCTACGACCAAGTTTAGGTCTATCCCATTCCTATCATGTATAGTAATGAATAGAACCCAAAAAATTGTCGATGCTTTGTAGGTAAATAACGATATAAATGCAACCAATTTCCTCATAGTTTTAATCGATATTTATCTATGGCAACATTTGAGGTAAAGTAGGTTAAGAAATCAATACATAGAAAAGGAGAGGTATATGACAAGGATCGTACAAACGATCGTCACCCTTAACATCGTCAGCATGGTCTGTCGAGCGGGAAAGCATTGGCGAGTTGTCGAAACTGGCGATGAAGTCTATAATGAAGTATATGTGTGATTATGAAGTTGCTATGTAGATGAAAACAAGAAGTAACAGAGGAAGTCAAAGTAAAGAGAAAAAAACAGGAAACGAATCAACGTATACTGCATAAACTCGCAGGAACTTTTATTGAAGTAAAACTCACTCAAAAACTCTAATCTATGAATCTGATTACAGGAACCTATTATATATATATATATATATATATATATATATATATATATAGTAAACATAACTCATTAGTATTAAACTAGGGTTCCTAAATAACATTCCATGTATTTTACCCTAAGAGTAGATATCAGTTTCTAACTGAGTGTTTTGTGGGGGTTGTAGCCGGAGGATTTCCGGAGCAGAAGCGGACGGAGGTTTCCCGCACAGATT